ATGTTTGCGGACAAGATTGATTATGATACTTGAGTCCCTTGGGGGACCAATGTTAACGGTCACCTTTCTGAATTCACGCAGGCGCCCTTTGCTGCTGCCAAGGAATGCTTCGGCCATCCAGGGATAGAGCCCAGGCAGGACTACGTGTCGTCGCGAGCGATGGGCCTCATCAGTTGGAGGCGGGCAGCCACCCGAGCAGTTCGCAAGTGTCATGCCCGATCTGCCACACCTAGCGCTACCGATCCCTCGTTGAACCCCTCTGTCCTTCCTCCTTCTCCACTTTCGGCTCGCTCTCTCGGATGGTCTCTCTACAGGCTTGCCAGGCGAATCGCAGGGGGGGACTTGCGCTGCTCTCTCCACGCCATGTTCCCCGACCGCGTCCGAAAGCGCTGTTGCAAGATTGCGGGCGAAGCCTGGAGATTAAGGCGCACGCAGCTAGATCCCGCTGCGTTTCCCGATCGAGTTCTGAATTTCGTACTCACTAGCAGGCCGACCCTGGCTAGGGTCCCGGAGGATGATCGAACCTGGTTTCTAGAGAAAACAGCGGACAGCCTCCAGATGTCAATAGGCGCCAAGTTGCCCAAGCAGCAGGGGAAGCATGTGCACGCACTCCTGCGGGCTGGGGAAAGGAAAAACGGCCCTTCGAAAGCTCCTGCTGCCCCCCCCCTCACGGTCGCCCCCCCGCCCCCCCGCCCCCCCCCACCCCGCGCCAGAATGGGCCCAGGCTGCTAAACTTGCTAGAAGTGAGGGGGCCGCCGGCAGGATCTTAGCAACGCAGGCGGAGGTCGGCCAATACGCGCAGCAGCACTTCTGCAAGGTTGGACTAGGGGTGGAGTCGCATCTGAGGGGGGTTGTGCGCCAGCAAAACACTGCGCCTCAGCCTCTGGGCCCCGACGTGATTTCGGATCCTGGGGCCCTACCTAGTGCCGTTGCTATTGAACGCGTCATTCGCAGGATCCCCACTGGAAAGGCCCCTGGGCCCGATAGCATTTCTCTGATCTGCTCAAAGCTGCGCCCCCAAAGAGATGGCCATTGCACTCTGCCCGATGTTCCTCGGAACTGTGCTCTCCTCTCGTGGGCCGATCGCGCGCAAGATTGGCGATGCTACCTTCTTCTACAGAGGACCGGGGCCGCCTCAGGCTGCACCTTCGCAGAGGAACATCACCGTGGCTAGCGCCATTGGCAAACAATACAACGTGCACCTCCGGAGCCTGGCTCTCGCTTTTTGGGGGCTCGTCTCTTGGCGGGGCAGTGCGGGGGCGGTGCTCACATGGGCCCCGAGATGCCACTTCATGGTCTGTTTTTACTCGCTAAGATTGCTGCGCACAGGAAGGTTTCTCTTGCATCCTTCTCCTTGGATTTTGGTCGACGCCTCCTATAACGCCACTCAGCAGTTTGACTTGCCCGCGCCAGGCGATGGGGACTAAGCTCGAAAAAAGCCCTTGACTAGGCGCAGCTTCCAGAGCTGTTGCACCGGGGCACACTAGGCATGCTTCGAGCGCCCTAGCCCGTGGAGCAGGCTGTTCCGCAAACTCCCCTTTTCGCGCTTATGCAAGAATCACAGCGCAACACGTTTTGGCAAGCATGCCAAGTAAAGAATTATGATATCCCTGGGGGTGGGACTCGGCCTGGGGCAATTCTTGTCACCGAGTTGTTGAGCCTGTTTTGTTCGTGAGGTTTTGCTTGAGATCCGTTATGGCATCAGGCCTCTGGAGGCTGAGGTTAGGGATGTGTTTGACCCCCCCCCCTCGTTGTGCATCGCCCAGCGACTGGGGCCAAGCCAGGCACGACTTATCCTTCGTGAGCGACTGGGCCATTACGTTGCCTGTTCGTGAAGATGCAGATGCGCCCAGGATTTCGCTGAACCTTGCTGAAACAATTTATATTTCGCGCCTCGCCCTAGGCCTGCGACCGAATGTCAAGGAGACAAAGTTGCTGTTCAAGCTCAGGGGGAAAGGGGCGAGGAGTATCTCAAACTGTTCGCGTGGTCTCTCGCCCTCCATCTCTTCTCTTACGCGGGGCTTCTCTCTCCCCACTTGCTCCGCGCGCAAGATTCCAGGTTCGCAGGTGGGCGTTTCCGGCAATGTGGCGAACGAGGTCACGGCCCGCGTCGCCAAGACCAGAGCGGCGCGTGCCCCCATCAAAGCCACCATTGGGCCCAGGTCTGGGCCCCCCTTGAAAGCTAAGGTTTCGCATTCCGAGGCCCTGGCCTCTTCTGCGATGTTATATGGAACCCTTGCCTGGCCAGATTTGACGAAAGCTCAACGGCGGACATTGGGCACCGCCCACGCTGCGATGCACAGGGCGGCCCTTGACCTTCCTTCCACTAGCAATGCTACTCGACGCGCCCTATCTGCCAGGGTCCACCTGGGAACGCATGGGCCCCCCTTAGCGCCGATCCAGACCGTTGCGAGGCTGCGGCGCCTTGTTCGGACGATGAGACACGCGCCGCCCTCTATTCGAGTCCGCATCTTACAAGCGCGAACGCAGCCATTTAAGCGCGATTGAATGCGGCTGTTCTTCTTTTCTGAACCTGAAGTCTTTCCAGGCGACCCGAGTCCTGGAACGATGCTCTCTCCTGTCAAAGAGCACTGGCCCAGGTTCCTTTCTCTGCGTAGATCTGCCGCCCCCCGCGCCAATGATTTCTACGAGAATGAACGCCAGAGGGCGGTGTGGGAGCGAGACTCGCGGGAGCTCGCGGTTGACGCGGCTATCTCAGACTTTGGGGGACCTGAGCAGTCTCTCAAGTGCCCCATGCGCGAGTTCACCTCTGTTTCGGAACAGGCGGTGAGAGCTCAATTTGGAAGATCCCACCAGGGGGCTGATGCTCCCGTATCGTTGGCTGTTGGTCTCACTTGTCAGATGTGTCTCAAGGGCTTTGCCGGGCCCGCCAGGCCTGCTCAGCATCTAAGGAACGCACCGAGCTGCATGATGTCTTGGGCAGCGCCAAGAATACCTCACGCACAGGACGAGATTGCAGCAGCCAAGGCTGAGGCTCGGAAGACATCCTCAGACAACAGGGCGGCGGGTAGGTCACCCACCTTTGCCTCCTCTCCCCCTTTGCAGCTGGCAGGCCCAGCGCTTGCGCCGAAGATTTACTTCGCGCGTGCGCAGATGATCCCCTCCTCTTGTCTTGCTGCCCTCGCCCTCTACCTATCCGCGCTGACATGTTTGTGCTTCGCATATTCTCTGGAGCTAGATGCGAACAAGATGTTCAGTTGCACATCGAACGCGCTCTCGACAGCCTTGTCTCCAGGCTACATGCTCTGAGTATAGATAGAGCGTACCACCTAGTTCAAAGGGACCAATCTTCGCAAAAATCGGTTGGCTTGTGGGTTGGCATGATCAGGTCAAGGCGTGTTTCTGCGGTCCTTGCAAGGCCACCCGGTAAAACTTGGTCCACGGCGCGTTTGAACATGTTCCCCAGGACGCCCCTGGCGGGCGATGTCCTCCTCGCCCGTTGAGTTTAGAAGACCATTCATGGGGCCTGGGTCATCTTTTAGCAAAGGCAAGGAGACAGGTGTATGTCGGCAGCCACTTGCTTAGAGTTACAATTAGCTGTGCTTACGAGTGTTGGATCTGGGGCATTCCTGCCATCATTGTGCACCCTTCGGTTTCTCCCAGGTTCCCTCATGCGCCCAGTGCGTGGAAGCCCCCCCAACTCCAGAGGCTCAGAGGTCTTGAGGGGGGCGATTTTTCATGATATCCACCAGTGTATGTTCGGAGTTGTTTTCCAACAAACCTACCACCCGACTTGCCATTCGCACGCCTGCCCTTGCAGAGATGCTTGCAGCTAAACCAGGTGCAGGCCGATGCACGCATATGGGTTCTCATGGGGGTGTTTGGGGTGCTAGCTAGGATGGCCTATGGAGGACCAGCCACCTGAAGGCATATGCCCGTGGGCTCTGTGAGGTTTTCGCGGCTGCCCTGGTCCAGCAAATCCGTCCGACCCTCCGACATGACTGCGTTAGCTGACCCCCCTTCCGTCCCGACCCTGGACAGGCCACCAATGCAATGGTCTTGCCAAGATGAGAGGGGACGTCGACAGATGCTTGACATTGACCCATGCGACGACAGATGGCGGACACCACCTGGTCTTCGCAAAGTTGCCTCACCTTTGGACCCTTATCTACTGCAGTCTATTGGAATGGATTGCATGCTGCACAGACCGCGGAAGGAGTCTGCGTTGTGATGGCCACGGCATGCCTCCTCTTTGTTGTGTTGTTATGATGTTGCGATTGTACTCCTAAGTTGCATAACTGGCGTCTGTACATACTGACCCTAGGTCGGCGAAGGGCTCTGTTGGGAAAGCTTTCCGCACCCAGGGATGCTGCTTGGCGCGCCGCCATCTCGGCAGTACCAGCAGAACATATTGTGACCTACATGTGGTGCAAGCAGCGCCTCAGGCAGTAATATACCCATTGTTGTGTGGAAGGTCTATCATCGGTCCTGCTTCCTCTAATTACCTCCTGTTCCTATGGCAAGGTCTCATCTGCTCAAAGATAGTACCCACTGTTCAGGCCAGAAGCTTGGCCGCGCCTTTGGCACTGCAGCACGGTTGTCCGCACTTGCGTTCTGCTGTTGCTGCTCGTTCTTCACCCAGTGGGCTTCTCTTCTCCTGCTCTCTCCAGACAGGCTTCAACATTCCGCCTCTGCCCGATCCAATCTTAGGAGGAGGGGGAGGAGGAGGAACGAAGAGGAGGAGGAGGAGGAGGAGGAGGAGGAGAAGGAGGAGGAGGAGGAGGAGGAGGAGGGGGAGGAGGAGGATGTTTTCACCACGCGAGGGGGTCTGGGTTGAAAGCTGCCCCCGGGACCCCCCGGGCGCCGATCGCACGGCGAGCGGCGCCCGCCGTCCAGCGGCGCTGCGGCGCCCGCCCCCGGGGGCCTGCGCCTCCAGACCCTGGAGGGTCCCACTTCTGATGGGGTCGGCGGAGATTCGGACTCCTCCTCCTCCTCCTCCTCCTCCTCCTCCTCCTGCGGCACCCGCCCTCGGGGGGGGCCTGCGGGAGGCGCTCCGACCGCGCGGCCCCGGGCGCCAGCAGCCAGAGCCGCAGCGCAGCCGCGAAGGCCTCTGGGGGGAGAGGCCCCCCCCCGCTGTGAGGCTCGTCGTCGCCGGGAGCCCCACGCCTCCAAGGACGCACGATAAGGATGCCAGGGCCCCAGCCCTCCTCGCGTATTTTTGTTTGTTGGTTGTTATTCTATTTTTTTGAGATTAAGAACTATTGTTTAACAAACCAAAGCAACAAACACGCGACGGGAGGTTTTTCGTTATTCTCGGCCTCGGGGGGGGGTCCTCGGGGCTACCAAAAGACGCTTCGGGATGAAAAACTTCCCCGGGAAGGGGTCCAGGCTTCTGGGGTCGACGTTGCGAACAAATGACGTCGTCGGGGGTATGGGTGTCGACCCTTTGCGAGCGGGGTGCGGCTAGCGAGAGCGGCCAAGGAGGGGCCGAAGGGGCAGGAGGCAAGGGAATAACCTTGGATAGTTGCTCATCCTCGCTATGCGGATCGACTGCATCCGCCCCGAAGCGCCGGCCGCTGATACGCGTGGCCGATGGGGAGGTCTGCCGTTCCGAAGTTTGGCAGAGGCCATGGCCATGTGATCCTGCAGGTCAATTCCCGCCAGGTCCCTTGCAGAAGCACCGTCTGCGCCTTAAAATCTCGTAACCCCCCTGTCCTTATGCGACCCTTGGAACTTACCCGTCGGAGCGATGCCAAGACTCCTCAGGATCTGTTAACTTCTGAGCAGGCCAGACGCTTCCTCGCTGCGCGATGTTATGGCGTTCCCCAGCGGGGAACAGGTGGGGGAAGTGAGAGGGACGGGCCTTCTCAGAGGGCTCGGAAGGCCTCTGGCCTTCTGAGCAGTTTCCTGGGCCTTCCACGAGGGTTCCCAAGATAAGCGCCGCCACCTTCTGAGAGGGCCTTCTCCTTCTCAAGTGCCCCCCTCCCCAGACCCCCGACGTCCTGATGTTTGCTCATAACGCCGACCCCCAAATGTCTCGACCCATTCCCCTGGACTGGTTTTCCATCCTGAGTCGCTTTTTGACGGTCCCGAGGGCCGGCAAGGGCCTCCAGAGGCCGAAAGTTAGGAAAAACCTCCTGTCATTAAGGAAACGCAGAATGACATCATCATAACACCCCGGAGGTCCGCGCGGATTTCTCGGATCCGCGCTGGACCCCCCTGGCTGCGCCTCCGGCGCCGCCCATGGCGCGCTCCGCGCGCCAGGGAGGGGGGTTCAGCGCCGACCCGAGAAATCCGCGCAGACCGCCGAGATTTGTTATGTTTATGTCATTCTTCGTTCCCCTAGTCACGATTTCTCCATCATCCGAGTAGGTGGGGTCGCCCTCCTCGTCGTCCTCCATGTCCTCCTCATCGTCGTCGTCCTCCTCCTCCTCCTCCTCCTCCTCCTCTCTTCCGCCTCCTCTTCCTCCTCCTCCTCCTCCTCCTCCTCCTCCTGGGTCGCTCGCCGCCGAGAACTCCTCGTGGCAAGGCACGGCGGCTCGCTGCCCGCAGGCTGCCGAGGCCTCCGGGTCCTCGAGGTGGGCGTGGTGCCCGCAGCCGTGCACGGTGGCCTCCTGGAAGCGGGCCCCCGCGCCGCCCGCGCCCGCGGCGCGCCAGGCCCGCACGCACGCCGCCGTGACGAAGTCCTGCTAGGGTTACGTCGGGCATGTCCTCCTACAGGCGGATCTTGGACGAGCAAAATGAAGAATTGACAGAAAAATGCACAAACACTTTTCAAACATAATCAACAAATCGTCCCATACTATTTTTGTTGTGACTATTCTTGAATATTCCTCCTGTAGGGGGACAGGCCCAACTTAATGCCAGGGGCGGCGGCCGCGGGAGGTGCGACCGCTCGCTGCGAGGTTGTGAAACTTCGAGGTTCCCAAACCCCCTCGCGCTGTGAAAGAATCACGACAGGAGGTTCTTCGCCATTTTCGGCCTCCGGAAGCCGGGCCTCGGGGTCGTCAAAAAACAACCCAGGATGGAAACCAAAAACGTCGGGGGTCTGGGTTCGAGGTTGTCGACCGTCGAGGTTCGAGGCTCTCAAAGGCGTCCGTCCGTTCGCTTCGGATTGCCAGCCTCGGGGCGCGCTCGCAGCAGCTGCACCCCGCGAGGGCGTGTTCCGGGGGTCCCCCCTGATCGTCCCGAGCGGCCGCCGGAGGTCCACGGTGCATTCGGACCCAGGCCAGAAAAACAGCCCTCAAGAACGTGAGGCCCTCCGTCGGCCCAAACACACGGAACATCCGAAGGTACCCTCCCCAGGGTGCACAAGAACGTCCAAGCAACACGGAGAACATTAGGGTACTGGGATGGGCGCGGGGGTTGGTAAGGGAGAGGTGGGGGGTATCAGTTGATGCCAAAGTGGGCTATGTCCGGCCTAACCTAGCTCATTAGTGGATTGCGAATGCCACAAGTGGCTTGGGGGGGTGGCGATCCAGGCTAAGTGGGATCGGCCCACTTAGTGGAATTCTCGAACCCCACTAAGCCACTCGGGGCACGTGAATGTAACCGAATGATGGGCTACGTTAGGCCAGACTATCCCTTTGGCGCCCACTGATAACACCCGTGTCCCCTTAGCGAACCCCGCGCCCGTCACAGCCCCCGAACCGAACTCGATCGTATACCTCGGCCCGACTGTACATGACCCGAAAAATCGCAAAACAATCGAAACAACTCCTGGTGCGGCGTGGGGGAGCTTCCTTTCGGCTCCTGGGTGCCCCCGGGCCGGGCCCCACGGCCGTCCGAAGCCAACGCATCCAGCAGATAGGGTGAAGAGCCAGTCCTCGGGAGAAGGCGTCCAGAGCTCGAGTAGAGGATCGACTCCAGAATTGACTCTTCCCAAACTTGAAGCGTTCGTCGACCCTGCGAGAGGAATGCGTCGAATGGATGTAGATCTACGAGCATTCGACGTATTATCGTAGAAACGACGAGCCAATCAAAGCTGGGGTGCACCGAATCTGTGCTCAACCCGATCTCCTGTTCCAGGTCCTCTGCGAGGCCACGTGGTGAGACAGGTCCTCTGCGAGGCCACGTGGTGAGAAGACGCGACGTAGGGTGTCTGGGTAAGGGACGGTCCGAGCGTTCGCCTCGCGTCGGCCCTCGGTGGAGGTGGGCGGGGGGGGGCGGGGGGGCGGGCGAGAGGGTAACGGTGACGGCGGCCGCGGCGTGCAGCCGCCAGGGTGCGTCTGCGCCACCAGTACCTCAATCGCCTGTGTGCACCGCAACCTGAAAGGGGGGGGGTCCAAACTCCCACCCCCCAGTGCACCCGTGAGCGTTACCTGAGGGTGGAGGGTGGGGGGCATGGCCCGGGTAACGGGAGGAGGAGGAGAAGGAGGAGGATGAGGAGGAGGAAGAGGAGGAGGAGGCGGAGGAGGAGGACAAGGAGGATGGAAGAGGAGGAGGAGGAGGAGGAGGAGGAGGAGGAGGAGGAGGAGGAGAAGGAGGAGGAGAGGAGGAGGAGGAGGAGGAGGGAGGAGGGAAAGCGCTCACCTTCCAGGTTGGATCTCAGCCCGTGCCCTGAAGGCTCAGCCGCTGGGGTCGGCCCCTCGGCGGCTGGACCCCTGCCGGCCGAGGGCACGTGCTTCCGAGCGCTCGTGGTCTGGCGGGCCGCCCGCAGAGGGGGGCCGCTGGCCGGGAGGCACCTGTGAGCGAGCACGTCGAACGGCCGCACCTCCCGAATCCCCGCTTGCTCACACGCTCAGCGGATCGCATATCTGTTCCTCAACGGCTCAGCTGCCCCGATACGCCACACGCAGCACGTAGCCTTTGATTACGGAGCTCCACACGTAGACTGGAAACGTTCGCCAAAACGTGGGCCAATACATTGAACATTGAGCAAACACGACTGTCGTTTTAAGCACGATACGTATTGCGTTTCAAAGCGGGCGTATCGAGGCAACTAACCCTGTAGGCAAGCCTCATCAACCGGAAACGGTGTTTTCTGTTTCCGCTTTCTGTTCGTTTCCCCTCGGTTAGTCTTCGTCCCGCCTGTGCTTAGGAACGGAATCGAAACGAAAACGGTCCACGGAAACGACCAGACACCGTGTAGGTCGAGCCCGGCCTGTAGGCCACAACCTGTAGAGCCAGGGCATCGGCTGAAGTGGGCAGAGCGAGCTCTGGGTGAGGGTACGCAGCAGCCGACCG